CAGTCAGCAGCTTAAGAACACTCCGTTATTGAGGTAACCCTCCACAGGTGTGTGAGGAGGCGGACCAGAACCAGGCGCCTCCTGGTGGAGGAATGGAGACAAACACAAAAACACAAACCACACAGACAGGAATCCTAACAATTTTTTTAATTTTGTATTCTGTAGATAAATAAATAATGCTTTCCTTAATCTGTGAATATCCTTTATATTTCCTTAATTTCCCAATATTCCTTTAAGACTCCATTTTTGGCCTGTCCTTCATACCATTCGTCTCAATTTCTCCCTTTCATGTTCATAGGTTTTACAGTTCATTAGTACATACTACATTTTCTTCTTTTCCACATCCTTCAAGTTTATCATTATTTTTCCTCACTAATAAATATACATTTTTATTTAAATAGGTGTGACTCTTAATCTGATCATTATTAGTCCTTCCTTTTTGTTTCTCTCATTAATGTTTCTATACTGATTTCTGTACCTTTTATAATCCTCTTCTTATCTTCGTTCCACCTCTTTTGACATTTTTACATTTCTTTACTCTTAATGAATTGATTTAGCTTCACCTTTCCCAAAAGGAATTGTCGTTGTTATTGTTCCCTCTAAAGCCCTTTTTGCTAATATATCTGCCTTTTCATTGCCTTTTAGACCTTCATGTGCTGGAACCCAACATAATCAAATATCAATGCCACCCCTATATAATCTAAATAGACTATACTGAAGGATACCCCCCCTCAACGACCGCCACCCAGCGGTCGAGAGGAACTGGAGGGCTGAGAGAGGAGGAAGTCCCTCATGAGGGAGGGGTCTAGGATATACGATCCCAGGATCCCAATAGAAAGGGGCAACCATCCTCCTGCGATTGGCCCACCTTTGATTCTGCTGGGAGGTCCTTCCCAGGGCCGTCATGACCCGGTTCCAGAAGGTCCAGCAGCGGCGGAAGTGTTGCTGGACGGAGGATTTCTGCCTCTTTAGATGGGAAAAGGGGTGGCTGGTATCCTATGGAAGCCTCAAATGGAGATAGTCCTATAGCACAGGAGACACTAGAATTGTGTCCATATTCAGCCCATGGAAGGAGTTGATTCATACGCTCAACTTGTCCATTGGATTGGGGGTGGTAACCGAAAGTGAGAGAGACCTTGGCCCCAAGTGCCAAACAAAAACTTCTCCTTACCTTGGAGATAAACTGCGGGCCACGGTCAGACAGAATGTCCTGAGGTATTCCATGAAGGCAAAAGACATGTTTAATGAGAAGCTGGGCTGTTTGCAGAGCTGTAGGGAGTTTTCTCAGGGAGACTAGATGACAGGCCTTGGAGAAACGGTCAATGACAGTGAGGATGGTAGTCATACCTTTGGGGGTGGGGAGACCTGTGATGAAGTCGGTGGCGATGTGTGACCAGGGTCCCTTGGGGATGGGCAAAGGTTGAAGCAGTCCAGAAGGAGGTTGATGAGAGGGTTTGTTGGCCATATATATATATTTTTTTTTTCTCCCAGCTGGAATCTTAAAAGTCACGTGACTAGGACGTAAAACAATAGAAAGCGTATAGGCAGAAAAAATGTAACAGTACCACAAAAAAATGGCCATTAATGTACCTCCACTACGTTTTGCAGTGTGGACCAACATAGTGGAGGTACATTTTCCCATGAGACTGGGTTGACTGTCCTCACACACGGGGGGGGGGGGTTCATCACACCTCTGTGACTGGCCATGTGACTTGCCTGTGGAGGCCTTGGCTGAAACAGGGGTTGTAGCAGAGATTCCCCAGCTGATTCCACATCATCATGTCAAGATGAAATGGCATATGGCGCAACACATGCAATGCGAAATAATAGAAAAGAAGAAGGACATGATCCTGACAGAGCTGTGAGGATCATGCCTTGTGTAAATGACGGTGGGCTTGTTGAAACAGGTGTATGATGGCAACTCGAAATCCAAGGCAAACACAAACTGCAGGGGCTCCTGATAGTTGCTTGTTTGTTTGCTGAGGTGAACCAAGTGATGTCCGTCTGGAACAGGGTTGTCAAACTGGTTCCAGAAAGGGTTGTGTGGCTGCCATTTTTCTTTCCAACCAAGCAGTAGCACAACAGACTCCATTCATTGCATGAAATTATTCCAGTCTTAACCTGCCGACTTGAAATACCCGCAGTCTGGTGTCTTGATTAAAGCTGAAATGGTTTCTTGTAGATTTAATAGTGAGTGGTGATAACAGAAGCATAAATCCAGAAATAGCCAATCAACGAAGACACGAACCAGAATAAAGGGGGAAAATAGGTTAAGGAGGAAATTAAGAGAATCCAGCTAACAGTAACAGCAGAGGAGGATTATATATGCCAGACAGAACAATGAATGGAGTAATCACCTGATTGGGAGCAGCTGTGGACAGAAGGAGCTAGAAGGGAGCTAGGGGAAAGAAGACTGGTACAAGGGAGCAACAGAGAGTGGAAAAGAAATACAACAGGTCTTAAATATAACTAGAAAATAACTTGGATGACACTAAATTGAAATTCAACTTACTTAGAGAACTCAGAACACAAATTTAAAGTGTGACTGAAAACCTAAACTGAAACTTGGAGCAGGACCAAAAAACCTAATCAGGAGATAATGAGAGGCCCTTTCTCAACCTAGTTTGACTTCCTTGTTCTGCCTGCTGCCCAGTAACCTACTGTAACTGCAAACAAAGTTTTACAGTCATACACTAGTCAATAAATTTATGTTAAACAGTAACCTACAGTAAATCTGATAACATCAATATTACCATAAAACAACAATATATCTCAGGCAACCATGCTGACAGTATTGTACGGTAAATATACAAGTTGTTACAGTGAAACGTTTTTTTCCTCTTTGTAGTTTAGCGATCCATAATCCTCAGAGGAATGCCTCACATGTTTATTTTCCCAGAGTTCTAGTAGCTATAGCAAACAGTTTATTTTGTACATGTTAATGATATCCACCATAAGTTTACAGTTCAAAGGTAAAGTGGTAATTTGCTTAAAAATATATCTCAATACACAACAGTCTTCATTTGATTAGAAATTGTGACACCTTTGTGCAAAAAGGTTTCAGCAAAACTGATTCCGAAGCCAAGTGATGCAACAAACAATGTCCATCAACATGATGACAGAAATGACAAACCACATTATGGTATATGCATTAAAAAATGAGGAGTGCACTGCTTACTGTTTTTTATAATTTATATACACCGACTTTCACAAATCAGTATTTTTACAAACACACACACACGCACACACCCCACACACACACATATATATATATATATATATATATATATATATATATATATATATATATATATATATATATATATATATATATA